CCCATCTCCCTTGTTAAAAAATAAAACACCCTTTGAACAGTTATTTGGTTATTCCCTGTCTTATAATGCTTTCCATACCTTTGGTTGTTTATGCTTTGTCCACAATCAAAAAACAAAAGGTGATAAATTTGAGAGTTGGAGTAGGAAATGTGTCTTCTTGGGGTATCCATTTGGAAAAAAAGGGATGGACTTTGTATGATCTTGACAAGCGAGAATTTTTTCTGTCACCAGATGTGAAATTTTTTGAGGATGTGTTCCCATTCATTGATTCTACCACGGTAAACATTGAGCCGGAAAGAGTTGTTCCCATGTATGATGATGTTGTGATTGACGAAGATTATGGATATGATGGCAGTCTCAGGGCTATACCTGATGGCACGGACACTCAGCAAAATCCATTGGGCGATGGATGCCTGGCCGACCAGTAGGGCATTGCTACTGCCCAACCCGCTTGCCGACCAGCGCCCGCTGGATCACAGCAGCATGGGCAGCCACAACAGCTCGTGCCGCACAACAACGAGCTGCACAGCAGTCAGCAGAGCCAGGCCAGCCCGAGACACATTCAACCGAGCCCCCTAGTTCTAGTCAGCCTGATTTGGGAAAGGGTTTTCGAGTAAAAACACCCTCGGTTCTTTTGCGGGATATGTGACTCATACTATTATTGCAAAAAGTCCATCTTCGCCAACACCGATTCCACAGCAAAAATAAGGTACCCCGTATCCTATAAAACACTATATTAATTGTGATAATTTTACAGTCAATTATCGTACATTCTTGGCAGCTATAATTTCGGGTCATGATCCAAAATCTTTCATGGAGGCCGCTGTGATGTATGAAGGGTGGAGGAAATCAATGCAATTAGAAATCCGAGAAACGGAGGGCATTGACTACAATGAGACTTTTGCTCCAGTAGCAAAGATGACAACTATCTGAGCCTTCTTAGCAATAACAGCCTCGAAAAATTGGGAACTACTTCAGATGGATGTGCATAACGCATTTTTACATGGTGATCTTGAAGAAGAGGTGAACATGAAATTGCCCCCAGGGTTCGAGAGCTCTAAGACGAAATTGGTGTGCCGATTGCGGAAGTCGTTATATGGTTTGAAGCAAGCTCCGTGTTGTTGGTTTGCAAAGCTTGTTACAGCTCTGAAAGGGTACGGGTTTCTTAAATCACTACTAGAAAATAGGCGATTTCCGAAGGAATTTTTTTTGTCAAAAACACCCTAAAATCTGTCGTCACAAGAGTATTTGTAGGAAAAACGACCTTTTCCGACGGAATCCAGTCGTTGGAAGAGATTTTTCGGCCTGGAAAAGTCCGTCGGAAAAGTCAATCAAAAAAATTAAAAAAATCAGACCCACCCCTAGACCGAACCTCCTAAGCCACCATCAAAAATCACCCCACCACCACTGCAATTCACCCCCCAACACCGCCTAAATTCACCCCACTACCACCAAAACCACCATAACCCACCACAACCGAAATCCCAAACCCACAACAAACCCACAATCCACCACCACCGATAACCCTAACCCACAACCGAAACCACCCCAACCAAACCCCACCCGCACCAAACCGAAACCACCACCACTAGAATTTAACCAAAAATTATGAAATTTACCAAACAAGCATGAAAATTACCAGAAAAAATTAGCAACTATAATTAGCCAAAAAAACCAAAAATTACCCAAAACAATTTAAAGAAATAAATAAATATACAATTATTTTACAAAATTTATTAACTAATATTACAATGACATCATAAAATAACTATTATTAAAATTAAAAAAATAAAAATAAAACTAGATCTGGATGTTGTAGAGCCGTTGTTGTTGTGCGTTGTTGTTGCGGCTGTGTTGTTGTTGTTGCGCCGGTGTTGTGAGCAGTGGTGGTTTGAGATAGGAGGGGAAAAAGAAAGATGCGGTGGTGGTGGTTTGAGATCGGAGGGGAAAGAAGAATAAAAAATAGGAGAGAAGGAAGAGGCCAGAAAGAGAAGAGGAAAGAGAAAGAGAAGATCGAAGAGGAAAGAGAACAGGAGAGAGGAGAGAGAGAAGGAGAGAGAAAGAAGGAGGAGGTGGAAAGAGAAACTGAGAAAGAGGGTGGGGGATACATTAGGGTTTTATTATTTTAAAAGATGTTTCTTTTTTTTTTTTAAATATTTTCCGACAGAAATTCCGTTGAAAATTTTTGACGGAATATAAATCCATAGGAAATGGTAATTTATGACGAAAATTTCCATCGGAAAGTACATATATTCCGACGGATTTGTATTTCCGACGGACTTCAGATAAAAATGTTGAACTCGTCGGAAATATTCGACGGAATAAAAATCCGTCGGAAATTTTAATTTTTCCTACGGAATTATGCGTCCGTCGAAAATAGCCTGTTTTCTAGTAGTGAATCCTACTCTGATTATTCTTTGTTTACATTCACTAAGGGGCATGTTCAGATTAATGTGTTAGTCTATGTTGATGATTTGATTATTTCTGGCAATGATTCCGCTGCGTTATTGGCTTTTGGAGCTTATTTGGGTGATTGTTTTAAAATGAAAGATCTAGGTCCCTTGAAATATTTTCTTGGCATTGAGGTGGCACGAAGTGCGACAAGTTTATTTTTGTGTCAGCGTAAACATACACTAGACATTATTTCTGAAGTAGGCTTGACAGGTGCAAAGCCTAATGACTTTCCGATAGAACAAAATCATAGATTGGGACATGTGAATGGTGAGTTACTTGTGGATTCAATTCGAAGGCATATCGTCGACTTAATTATCCAACGATTGGTTTATCTTGCGATGACACGACCGGATCTAGCCTATTCCGTGCACATTCTATCTCAGTTTATGCAGATTCCACGAACAGAGCATTGGGACGCTGCCTTACGTGTGGTTCGATACTTGAAGGGTACACCAGGGCAAGGGATTTTGCTTCGGGCTGAGAGTGAATTGACACTACAGGGGTGGTGTGACTCAGATTAGGCCGCTTGTCCAATCACTCGTCAATCTTTGACAGGTTGGTTAGTGTTCTTAGGCCAATCACCAGTCTCATGGAAGACAAAGAAGCAGCATACGGTTTCTAAGTCGTCAGCATAGGCAGATTACCGTTCTATGGCAGCAGTAACTTTTGAACTGAAATGGTTAAAAGGTTTGTTATTGAGCTTAGGAGTCCATCATCCCAAGGCTATTCCATTGTTTTGTGATAGTCAATCAGCTCTACACATTGCTAAAAATCAGGTTTTTCATGAAAGAACCAAGCACATCAAAGTTAATTGTCATTTTGTACGAGATGCCATTACAGATGGTATTATTGCTCCATCGTATGTGTCTACAAATTCTGAGTTAGCGGATATTTTTACGAAGGCACTTGGTAAACAACAGTTTGATTTTCTATTGTCCAAGTTGGGCATTCTAGATCCCCACCATGCTCCAACTTGAGGGCGAGGGGGGGGGGGTGTTATGATATATGATATATATGATGAAGATTTGATTAGGATACTTAGTTGGCAAAAGATAGAGTTATTTTAAGTTGTTATCATAGCTAATATTCTTTTCATATTTATCTTGTACACCAATATATATTTCGGCTAAGAGCCATGAATACAGTCAAGCAATTATTCTCCATTATTATTTGACATATAATGATGAATCTATGACACTAAAATCTATGAATAATTGAAGATACAACAGTATCTCAAATTCTCATGCCACCTTATTGATGATCTGCAAATACATGCCTTAAACCTCGATCCATCGGACCTTGTACCATATTTTCTCAAGGCCATTCATTACTAATCAAGAAAAGAAGTTTAGCATGCCATACCCTCAATCTAAATAATAGCCAGCTTGAGAAGCACATAATTTTTGATGGGATTATACAAAGAGTGTATGCCTTGATGTTAACTCGATCCTCCACGTATAGCCGTGAAAAATAAGTGAATTCACCCTTAGATCTAGTAGTTAAAATAAAGTAACAATACACATTTTGCATTGGCCTGGGTTGTTCAATATACGTACGTGACAATCTAGCTCTAAACAATTTTATTATTATTATTTTTTTAAGGTAAGGAAAATAACATTAGGAAGCCCTCCTAATGAGGGAAATTCCTAACGTAAGCTCAAAAACAAATTGATTCCAACAATTTGATCTAATTTTATATGTACTAACCGTACCACTTATTGAGAGGTTTAAAAGTATAATGAAAGGTACCAAACTATCGATCAAAACGAGAGTGAGGGATAGCTCAGTTGGTAAGAGCTTTCCTCCTGGTTCCAGGTGATCCTGAGATCGATTCTCATCCCCGCCCTAGAGGCTCATATGAACCAAAAAAAAAATCGATCAAAACAAGTGACATTAATTAAGTGTACTTAAAAATTGGGACAAAGAATTTTGTTGCAAACAAAAATTAAATCAAATAATTTATGTGAAACACAATACAAACAATTGATGAATTTTCTATTTGAATCTTAATAAATACTTTGTATGAATTTATATAACCCGAATAAAAGAAAATCATTTTTTTCCAAAGGCCACGATTGTATGAGTAAATTCCAATTTTGGTATACATGTACATGCATGTATATATGAATTAATTTTCTAGAAGAAATTGGCTATGCTTTTTTGGAGGACATCATGGACAATGATTTTGTAAGCGGCTTCCGTTGGATGAAAACTATCCCAAAATACATATTTTGAGGCATCTTTGCAAGTCCCAATATTTAGCTTTGTACAGAGAAAAGTCACCTCTAATTTTCCTGTGCCACAACATCCTTTGTCTATAACTGTAAATCCTGTAAAAAAAAAAAAAAAAAAAAAAAAGAAATTAAATCAAAATTTGGTACGTTAAATTAAATTACGTTCATATGAATGTACTCCGTATTACATGATGCATGACATGAATCTAATTAAGTGTTGAAAAACTTTATTCTTAACACTACTATACAGTATGCACCACAAACTTCATGTGTCCTTTGTATTATTCTTAATGTCTCCTTGTATAAAAATACAAACGAGTAATATTTTATCTTTATTTTTTTATTTTCCGTAATTACATGTTCATTATTAATTTTATATTCATTGAAATCAATTATTCTTTGACTTTTTGTTGCATTATCAAGCTAAGGCTTCCTGCTTCCATTTAATGAAAGTAACCATAAAACTATATTATAATCTCAATTAATTATTCTTTAATCACCATGCATAATACATTAATATCTATTGTAAAGAAGAAAAAAGAGCAGAATGAGTACCTGATTGAGAAGGATTGTTTATGAGATTGAGTAATGGGTTGTAGATGTCGAGGTACACGAATCTGGATCCTGCAAGCTTTTGATTTAGGGAATTCAGCTCGGGAAAGAGCTTGTTGTTGAAAATAATAGCAGCTTCATTTTCATCCTTAACACAAGATCTAAATAGACCACCATGCAAGGTTCTTTGTGATGGAAAACACCCACATGGTGGTGCACTGATTACACCTATCCTTCTTGCCCCCAATTCGTATAGTTCCTGGAAGTTTCAAACATTATTGTTTAGGTTAACACAAACTCAACAACCAAGAATTATTTTCTTGCTATTATTAATAACATACATGTTAACATACACAAACATACTGCCTACGTTTATAAATACATGCAACAAATTGACTTTATTATACACTTTTTAAAGCATAAAATTCACCTAATTTGTTGCATGTATTGAATACAATTTTTTATTTGATATCTTTTTTTTACAAATATACTTCATATAACTTATGTAGTTACCTGCACAAAAGAGGACGCCCAGTTGACCATCATGCCAGTATATGTTGAGACATTGTAACGAAGTCTTTCAACTGGTAATGAAGAGAAATAAGTGTTTGTAATGTCATTGCTTCCTGCTGAAATGAGGTATACACTTTGAGAAATGATGGTGGATGTTGTTTTTTCTCCTACTGCAGCCTTGAGCTTTTCTATATACCTTTTGAACAAATTCAATTGTTTTTGTAATGTCATTACATTCTGCACTCGATCAAAACATTAATTCCTGTTAGTCATATAGTTTAGACATTTACCGAGTATACTAATTAAAATTGAAACCCACGTTCTTTTATATTACTCGTACTGTTGCACGTACTACGTACACATGAATGCCATTTAATTAGCCTCTTCGTCTTTTGATTCTGCACATTTGCATTTGAAGGTAGTCGAAATTTTCTATGTTGACCATATAATTCTCTATGCATGATTAATATAGATACTAATGTAGTAATAGTCAAAGGTGTGTTTTGAAAACCGTGAAATTAAAAAGTAAATAATTTAAAAGACAAATGAGCTAATAAGAGTGAGTTATAGTGGTACATTGTTGTGGTAAAACTAACAAGTCAAACAAAGCAAGTTCCTATGACAAGCAAGTGAATTCTTAGAGAAGGGGAATAGCTTACAGAGAGATACCGCTAATTTTGCAGATTTAGGATCGTAACCAGCAGCACCCGATGCGAAGCTGACACCAGTAAGGAGGTCACTAATGTTGAGCGTTGGATCCAAATATGGAGGCACAAAATCTTTTATTCCAAGCTCTTCGGCTACAAGAAACAAAGTTGAATAATAATATATTATAGCAAATCAAGAGATTACCAATTAAAATTACTAAAGGAACATGATGAAAGTCTAATAAGACTATATTATTGATTGATTAATTTGGTTTAAAAAATACTATTATTGACAATTAATATTACTAATCCGCCCTAAATTAACTATGTTTGCAACGCAAGGACACTATATGATGGATCCCATGAATACATATGATCTAAAAGGGATTTAAACAACAAACTAATAAGAAAATGAGAGAAACGTACTAAAGGTACATTATACATTATTAAGCACTCCGTATACAACACGCCTAATTACTGTGAATCACAACAAAACAATATACTTCGTATATCTTAAAGTTTGACTTTTTTATGATATGGCGTTACAATTTTTCTGGTAGTTGTCCATTATTTATGCGAAGTATAATATAAACCAATCTAATTAGGACTTCAACCATCAACTTAACTCTTTTTTTTTTTATTGAATTGCTCCATTAATATGGTATCAGAGTTAGCGTGACAAGAATGTCATTAATTCAAATACTAGTATCGACCCCTCCTTTTCAAAGTAAAATATTTAAAATCAAGTATGTAAAGCTTCATGTGGCATCAACCTTTTAAACCCAATGCCTCTCATGTGATGTCAAAAGTATGTAAATATTACTGTAGAATATAAACAAATTTGGTGACTTTTACCATTAGCTTTAGCGGCTTTTAGTTGAGTTTGTCCATTGACACCAAACTAATTAACTCATTTTTTTTCTATTTATAAGAGTAAATGTTACTCTGTAATAAACAAGAAAACTATTACTCATATATTCAAACATTTGAAAAGTCAAAAATCTAATTAAATGGAAACCCATGGACACTCAATAGAAAAACCTTTGGCATAAATACAAGACCGTCTAGCTAGCAAGCAAAGAAAAAGGACAAGATCAAAG